AGATAGATAGATAGATAGATATCAACAGACTGCATAGATAGATAGATAGATATCAACAGACTGCATAGATAGATGTATTGACTGAGATAGATATAGATAGTTTTGAAAATTTAGAATTTTACGTGAACAGAGATAAATATGAACAAACCCAAATAATAAATAGAGCCATATGAAAAGGCTGATAGCTAGCTAGCTAGATATACCTGAACAGATATGGACAGTAATACTCGATCTTCTAGCAGGGAATAATAATATAGAGTTATATTTCTCCTAGACGACCTACTATTTAACTCCTGAGTAGAGATGTAATAGATTTATGCCTTTCCCAACAGCATTATTGTGAAGCGAACGCATATATATGGCCGGGGAGTAATACCCCAATTGATCCCACTGGTTGAAAGCCTGTTTGAGGGCTCCGGCCAAAGCTTGTGATAACCGCTATCTTATCAACATTTACTTTTTTCTGTCTCCATTTATATACGTTACAAATTAAACTGAACACAACTGACTGTTAATTGATAACAAATTTTCGTGGAATTTAACGTCATTCAGGTGTATTTATTTTTCGTCCAAATCCGTGAAGTTGTTTTGCTCATGCTAAGAAATATATATATATATATATATATATATATATATATATATATATATATATATATATATATATATATATATATATATATATATATATATATATATATATATATTTTTCTATTTTTTTTTATCCATAATGTCGAATGTTGGAGGCACGGATAGCTATTCGGATTGAGGAATCGGAGAGCCGAGTTCGAATTCCAGTCGAATCCATTACAATCACTGACGTGCTAATCCCCTTGGGAAAGGTATGAATCTTCTTCTTCCCCCTCCAGCTATGGGTAAATAGCAGGGCTGACGGGGTTCTATAGCCTTGATAGCAACTGGTCTAGGAGAAGGACAACTCTGAATTCAAAACCTGCGGAGGGTCGTTTGGAGACCTTGTGGCACGTAGTGCACCAGGTCTCTGCATTTGGCCCTTCAAAAAGTGTAGTTGGTTCTGCACAAAAACTTCACCACTATAATCAAATCATATGGGCTATCGGGTCCTAGGAACTGAGCTGCTTGACCCCATACGTCGAATACGACGAGGGAATTCACCATATATATATATATATATATATATATATATATATATATATATATATATATATATATATATATATATACATGACTAATGAATTTATGCATTTATTCCACCGACACTAGTGGTCTGACTCAGAAAACCTAAAACAAATACGCAAACAAAGAAACAAACAAAAAAGTTAATCAAAAATTCATTTTATGAACAGAAAGAATAATAATAATAATAATAATAATAATAGTATTAGTATTAGTATTAGTAGTAGACAGAAGAAGAAGAAGAAGAAGAAGAAGAAGAAGAAGAAGAAGAAGAAGAAGAAAAATCGAGAAAGAAGGTTTTTAGAAACATCCGCAGGGTATCCAAAATAATATCAAGTTAAATTTACGTTATATATTTTAAACGAGGTAGAAAAAAAATAAAATTCGTATCTTGTGATTAAGCCAACGTTAATGACGCCATCAACAACGACAACAACAATAACAAGAGCAACAACAACAACGACAACAACAATAATAATAGTGAAAATAATAATGTAGCTATTATTTTGCTGATAATGTTAAGTATTTAATAAAGAGCGGGAAGATTAATTTTTAAAAAAAGAGGGGGAAATATTAAGGAAAGTGCGGGAAAAATTGCTGAAAATGATAAGAACTTAACGGGGAAGCTTTGTGCTGGAAGGATGAAAGAGGAAATGTTATTCGATTTAAAATGGAGATCGTGAATTAATGTGGGAATTAAAAAAAAAAAAATAAACAGCAAACAGAAAAGATGAAATGAAAATAATTAAGTCAGATTATTGAGTTCAGTCGCCAGGGCGAATTTTCGAACCTGTTTCGCTGACTAGTGTAGCGGGTTCGATCCCCACGAGCCCTGATTAATTTTAGGAAATAAGAACACATTTTGTGGAGCAATGGTGAACATGCAAGTTTAGCAGTATATTACTCTTTTACAGTAAGATCACTACTCATAAGACCCTTCACTATTGTGAACTTGTGCCAGATTATGCAATATATATATATATATATATATATATATATATATATATATATATATTGTAAGTATTTAATACCCGTGTTCTTTCTTTTGCTCTCTTTTCACATCAATATTTCATAATTGCATAATGGTACAAGGCGGCAAAGGGTTTCACGCAATCGATGCGGATTAAGTTCGATGTTGATTAACTTCAGTAAATCATACGGGAACAGGCGGGAAGGGACAACTCAACACCGCTGACTCAACATCGCCGACTCAACACCGCCGACTCAGGACCGAGACAACTCAGGACCAGAAAAACATTACTTGTTTTTGATAACCGAATAAAAGTAATTTGTTAAGGATTAAAACCTTAATTAGTGAATATTTTTTAATTAAGTAAATCGGTGTTGTGTCGACAGTGTTGAGTTGTCCTGCACTAGAAACAATTACTTTTAATCGGGTTTGATCGCAAGTAATATCATTTTTACAATCTTTTATATGGAGTAATGGATAGCGGCTCAGATTGAGGAATCGGAGAGCCGAGTTCGAATTCCAGTTGGATCCATTACACTCACTTACATGCTAATACCCTTGGGAAAGGGTATGAATCCTGTTCTTCTCCCTCCAGCTATATATATATATATATATATATATATATATATATATATATATATATATATATCCTCTTAATGTGTGCTATATTTACGGGATAAAGTGCTCAATATCAGAGATAGAGCGTGTGTAACACACAACCATGTATATATATATATATATATATATATATATATATATATATATATATATATATATATGTGTGTGTGTGTGTGTCGGTGTGTATGTTTTGTATGATAAATATATCGTTTTAAAGCTTACGGCCACGTCAGGTTGAAACGTTGGTTCCCCATATTATCGTCGAAGTTAAGCAACATCTAACTAGGTCAGTACCGAGATGGACGAGCGCTTTTAACATGGCATTCTTGATCGAATTTGTTCTCAAGAATACCGATCTTTTATTTGTAATGTACACACTCTCAGCACACACACACACACACACACACACACACACACACACACACACATATATATATATATATATATATATATATAGTTTATATATATAAAACTATATATAAAAGTCACCATACAAAGCTTAGAAAGGCTCATAATGGACATTTATTGTCTGTTATATTTAACAATATTTTTTGAATATATATATATATATATATATATATATATATATATGTGTGTGTGTGTGTGTGTGTGTGTGTGTGTGTGTGTGTAAAGGTGTACATAGGAAGAATAAGAAAGAAAGAGTAAGGAAGAAAAATTGGAAAGGAAAAAAGAAAGAAAGAAAGATATGTAAAAGGAAAATTGGCAAAGAAAAAAAAGGAATAAATGCAAAACAACGAAGAAAAGGACAAAAGAAAAGTGACAAAGAAAGATGGTAAAATCAAAAAGAAAGACAAAGAAAACGAAAGTGAACGAAAATGATTAAGGGAGAAAGAAAAAAGGAGAAGGAAAGAAAGAAATTAATATCAGAGATAGAGCGTGTGTAAATATAAAAATGAATATTGAAGTCAACATTTAGAGACGACAGACTGTTTCATGCCAGACGCAATCGTCAGGCCACCTGACGATTGCGTCTAGCATGAAACGGCCTGTCGTCTCTCAGTGTTGACTTCAATATTCATTATATATATATATATATATTTGGTTGATAGATGTGAGTTTGTGACCTGGGTTTCACGCTTTAGCGATTGTCTGACGATCGAAAGCGTGAAACCCAGGGTCACAAACTCACATCTATCCAACCAAATATGTTAGCTCTATCTCTGATATTGAGCGCTTTCTAATAAGTACTGCGCATATAATATATAAATAATTATACATATATATATATTTATTTATATTTATATTCACTTTTCATATATATATATATATATATATATATATATATATATATATAAATTTATATATATATATATATATATATATATTTATATATATATATATATATATATATATATATATATATATATATTATATAAAGGAGTAGAAAGGAACAAAAAGAAAGAAAGAAAGAAAGAAAGAAACTGTAAACCAAAAAATCGCGAATCCCGTGACCCATCAGTAGAAGTGATGTTTCTTGGGCAAGATAGCCTGAGGGAGCCCAACCTTCTCCAGACTGGTTTGGAATTCAGAGTTTTCCTTCTCCTAGAACGGTTGCCACTATATATATTTCTACATGTCTCTCTCTTTTCTCTTCATTCCTCTGCTCTATAGCTTGTTTATCATTTCCATTCTTTTTTTTATCTTTATCTTTTTCTCTTTGATTTTTAACTTTCTTTCTTTCCTTCTCTTTTTTCTTTCTGTCTTAAGCTTTTTCGTTCGGTTTTGTTTTCTTTCGTTCTTTCTTTCTTTTTGGATTTACCATCTTTCTTTTTCACTTTTGATTCTTTTTTTTTGATTTTTTTTTTCTTCGTCTTTTTGCATTATTCCTTTTATTTCTTTACCCTTTTTCCTTTTAAGTTTTCTTTCTATCTTTTCTTTGTCTTTTTCATTTTACGTTTTTTTCTTCTTTCTTTCTTCTTCGTTTTCCATTTCTTTTGTACTTTGATTTCCATTACCATTTTCGTATTCGCTACCAATTCTTTTCGCCCATAATTCTTCACAATTCGATTTAACAAAAAAAAAAAAAAAAAATGTCTTCCATTTTGTCTTGTTTTAACATCAACGTTTATTATACGTTTCACTTCTTTTTTTTTCTTGTTTCGTATCTTGTTGCAGGCGCTTCTTCGTTCGTTTTTTTTGTTTATCTCTTTCGCTTCCAATTCAGTGAATAGAAACCAGGAAGCGATCAATTCTTTGTGAGAAGGACAAATGAATTATTCTCCATGACCCCCACAAAAAA